AAAAATATTCCCACAATAAATTAATTAAAACAGAAGAAGATGAGAGGGGGAAGGAGGGAGAGGAGAGACGTAAAATAAGTGATACATATCATTCTAATTATATTGATATATGTATATATATATATATATATATATATATATATATATATATATATATGTATATATCGAGAGAGAGAGAGAGAGAGAGAGAGAGAGAGAGAGAGAGAGAGAGAGAGAGAGAGAGAGAGAGAGAGTGAGAGAGAGAGTGAGAGAGAGAGTGAGAGAGAGAGTGAGAGAGAGAGTGAGAGAGAGAGAGAGAGAGAGAGAGAGAGAGAGAGAGAGGAGGAGAGAGAGAGGGAGAGAGAGAGAGAGAGAGAGAGAGAGAGAGAGAGAGAGAGAGAGAGAGAGAGAGAGAGAGAGAGAGAGAGAGAGAGAGAGAGAGAGAGAGAGAGAGAGAGAGAGAGAGAGAGAGAGAGAGAGAGAGAGAGAGAGAGAGAGAGAGTGAGCGAGCAGGAAATAACAGTGTTTTGATGAATAATACAGACTCTGTTTTTAAGACACACCTGTATATGTATGATAATAATACGTTGTAATCAGACTCGTGGTAATGATTAAATGGTTTATGATAAAACGATAAAAAAATAAAAAATAGTACGTGATAATGATGATAATGAAACTGTTAGTCTGATATATGGAGAAGTCTTGGAAGCCTGTAGTATTTCGGTATATTTTCATATAATATACGTTTTATTTCTAATTATCATTATTAATCTAAAAGAGGACCATTTCTCATCAAAAATAGTGAGCTGTAACCAAAGCCGAACTTTTACGGTTATATTATCATAATCTTTGACGGTAAATATGAATCCAATCCAGTAGCATTTAACAGTTTTTGTCTCGCAACTATACCTATGTGACGTCATTCCTTTTTGCTGTTAATCATTATTATTATTATTATTATTATTATTATTATTATTATTATCATTATTATTATTTTATTATTATTTTAATGGGAAGGCGAGAGGAAGCGCAAAAAAAGGGAGATGAAAAGGAAGACTTTTTTACTTTTTTTTATTTCGACAAGTGAGAGAGAGAGAGAGAGAGAGAGAGAGAGAGAGAGAGAGAGAGAGAGAGAGAGAGAGAGAGAGAGAGAGAGAGAGAGAGAGAGAGAGAGAGAGAGAGAGGGAGAGAGAGAGAGAGAGAGAGAGAGAGAGAGAGAGAGAGAGAGAGAGAGAGAGAGAGAGAGAGAGAGAGAGAGAGAATATCAGTAATATAATAGTAAGATATATGAAGAAGTTTGGAGAAACAATATGACAAAAAAAATATTTGGACTTTATGAAATGTATTCAAGAAATTCACCCACAAAATAATGAAAAAAAGCCTCGGAAACAAATGACGTCCTAGAGATGAATTGAAATATTCGATCCATATACTTTGTTAGCAAAAGATTTTAAAAAGAATGCTACATAAAATGCCTGGATAAATTGCTTTTACGAAATAGACACCAAATTATTATAAACCAAAGGATTTCTTATGGACAGAGAAATCATAACAATACAGAGTACTTTAATAAACTAAAAACGACACTGCACGTGTTTACTTTATTCCACACTCACCGATTCCTGAAGATTTTAGTTCACTCTCTCAATATCTGTGGTAATTATATCACTTATGCTAGGGCTGCATATGATGTAAAGATCCTGGTTTGAAAATAAAAGTAAAAAAAAAAAAAAAAAAAATTGTTCTCCAAGATCCTTAACCTTATTTACTTTAAAAAATACGTGATTGAGATAACTCGAAAACTCATATAGATGTATCTTGCAACTATAGTTTTGATATTGTTAAGCAAATAATCAACATTTCAAAATATTTGGGTAGTTCCTCGACCTACCCCAAGGAGAAGCATGTAGACTGATGGTCAAAAGCCATATAAACCATGTTAATTATTGTTTTTACCGAATGTATTGTAGTTTAACACAGATAATATCTTAAAGAATCATTTATATTAATATGGTAAGAGGAAGCTATAACTTTTACTAATTTCTAATTTCAGATACCTTTAAGTTCCAGGCATATCAAGCCTGAGCATATTTTTTTTAGAGAAATTTATAAGAAAAAAAGAACTTTCATTTTCAGTTAAAATAAATGTATGTGTAAGCCTCTATAGCTAAGGCTATATTTGGTCTTCAACATTAATATCTAAACATAATCAAAAATTGCATTGTGAATTTTCATGAATCACCACATAAAACCCATTGATATATATTATTTAATCAACTAATTCATATCAAAACTACCTTCACATTTTCTTTTTCTTTTACCCCAATTCACACTCCTGTTCTCTTCTTATCACTTTTCTTTTAGTTTTAGATCCATTACACAGGTACCGATGACATGTATTTCAGGAGGCAGTAGGAGCTGCTATGAACGTAACTGTTAAACAAGGGTCTGGACATTACAAGTGAGACACATAGTTTTGCTGCTTCTTATATCCCTTGTACTGTATTGCACTGTAACCAAGAATACCAATTAGAAATCACTTAATAACTTTTTATCAAAGTTCTTCTCAAAGATGAATACAGTTTCTGAATTCCAGATAGATGGAATAGCAATAAGAAGTCACTAAATACAATATTAATCAAAGTTCTTGACTTCATAGATAGATGTCTCAGTTTCCAAATACTGTGACATACACGAGGAGAACATGTTATTCAGACGAAAAAGGTTATAACAAGACCATTTCTATACATCATTTTTAATAAACTGAAATCTATGATACACATTGACACATACTCCATTAAAAGGAGCACATTAGGAGAATATAATACCTAGTTGCACTTACTAGAAACTTCTTCACAAGATGGAGAGTGATGTACTGTGATGACACCATGGTTTGCACACCACTTTTTTTTTTTGAAACCATAATTTATTTAAATACTAAAAAAAAAAAAAAAAAAAAAAAAAGAGAGAGAAAAAAAAATCGTACTGAAATAACAGCTGATAAAAAAATTACAAAACACTTATACTCCACGTGTGATTAACCAATTCGAGCTTCTGACTCCCTGGGAAGAAGTGAGCGGAAGTCGAGTGTGGGTTTTCAGTTAAATTGAGTTCGTCGCGTAGACACTTTGGAAAACTCCTGCCAATAATATGTGGTCGATATTCTAAAATGAATATCTTGAACTGGGACTGCTTTCTATCATGGCTACTCTGGTTTAATTAATTGTTCAAAAGTAGCCTGTGACAGAAATGACTTGTTTAATATTCCTCTCTTCATCCCTAACATTCTGGCCTATCATACATTTATATACATGACATAAACTGTAGAATAGTAACTGACAAACATTTTCTATTTTCAAAGTGTGGATACAAGTAAGTTTATGCCTTAGCATGAAAATACCTCTAGTGGCCTAACATACTATTTGCAATGTTTCCCTTATATTGCTGCAACAAATATGTCACAAATCCACTTGTTAAACCATGCAAGAGACTGCATTAATATTCACAATGCAGAAGACATTTCATAAGAAAATAATAGTAATGCTGTACTATTGTGTTTGAAAATCTAACCAACCTTTTCTCACTGAAAAATGGAGAAAAAAAGACAGTAATACCTTTTGTTAATTCATGTTAACAGAATTATTAATATTATATTACCATAATATTACCATAATTTCATCCACCCATGGCATAATACTTACAAAAAGGAAACTGACTGTATGTTTGCTTTGTAAAATTTACTATATTCAATAACTGTAGTTTTTCTTACACTTTCATCATTAACATTGAGCATCATTAGGTACTAAGAATAACATACAAACTACAATATGAAAAACAATTCTAGTAACCAGATTCTAGAAGTAGTGACAGAGTCTAACATCAACTCTAACAAAATGTATGCAAACTGTTTGTGACCAGAAACCGCAGTAAAACACAAAGGAAGATACAATCTCATTCTCTTGTAACAAAAGGTGATTTGCTTCGAATGGCTCTTGCTTCGGCACAAAGACTTCTTCATTGTTTCCCCAAGTTTGTGAATCCACTACATGGTACGTACAATACAAATCACTTAAACACTTCCCATCTTTCTCTGTTGAAATTGTCCTTTTCAACTAAGCCAAAACAAAAATGAGTGAGAGAGAGAGAGGGAGGGAGAAAAAAAAAGATAGAGAGGGAGGGAGGGAGTGGGGAGGAGAAGGGGGGGAGGGAGGGAGGGGGGAGGGGGGGAGAGAGAGAGAGAAGAGAGAGAGAGAGAGAGAGAGAGAGAGAGAGAGAGAGAGAGAGAGAGAGAGAGAGAGAGAGAGAGAGAGAGAGAGAGAGAGAGAGAGTGAGTGAGAAAAAGAGAGAGAGAGAGAGAGGGGGGGGGGAAGTTAGGGACAAAATTATTAACAACTGATAAATATTTGTTACCAAATCAAGATGCAAGATGGAATCTAACAGGAAAAACAGCCGAGCAATGTCCACCTCACACATGCCTCTTGATGTGGCATTAGAACTATATTACATACAAAAAATTAACCTAATCTTCTGACAACTCAAATAAAATAACATGACGTGCTCCTACTCTCCATAAAACATCTGAATCAATAAATAAAAGCAAAAAAATTACACATTTCACCGAGAAACACGTTATTTGTAAAACTAAAAGCTTGTATCCATGAGTACATGAATTTCCCAGTAGTTCAAGAAGCATCCCCCCAAGAAAAAAAATACAAAATAAAATAATAATAATAATAATAAAAAAAATTAAAATCAAGAATAATAATACATTGGTCCTGAACACTATGGAGCAGCCTTTCCTTTCTCGACATAAACAAGACATAACGTAAGGCTTTACACAACCATAGCAACACTGGACGTCGAAGCCTTTTGACACGTTCATGAAAAATGCAACTCTAACGCATGACCCAAAATGCTTGTGGTTGTACTTCTCAAATCATGCAGGGAAACAATGATTCAAACAAAAGCTAACTCTGATTTCCTCTCTGCCTGAATCCATTTAATCCATTTATTATGAGAGAAATGAGCTAAGAAAGCAACCAACACATTTCCTCTTCTTTTTTTTTTCTTGAAGGCATCTTACGAGCGAGATTAAATATTGAGAAAATTAACATACGGAAGGGAAAGGAAAAAAAAAAAGGGTAAAAATTAGAATCGTCACTTTCACAAATCAATATCCATCACTATTCTTATCTTTTCGCTTGATTTTTTTTGTTTGTTTTTTTTGTTTTTTTGTTTTTTGCCGTTTTCAATCACATCACGTATAATGAAATAATTATTCATTCTTAACTAATAACCCTGCTAAAGATATTCAGAGTTTACTTTTCCATTTATTTTACTTATTTTTTAGTGTTAAAACAATACATAAACATTCATTTGATATAGATTCCACAATCATAGGTAATATAAGCACAGCTATTGCCTTTTTCAAAAAATATTTGTTGACATAAAAAAAAGGTGAAGATACAAAATAAAAAATAAGTAAGACTTATATTCCAATCACATTTAAAAGAATTTCTAAAAAAACAATATTCACATTTGTACATTTGGCTACCAAGGTCAATTTGTGTTATTACCTCTAAAATTGCCTTTCCTCAATACAAAATAAATAAAAATAACATAGAAATAGAAAAAAATAAGAAAGCACTTTGTATTTTCATGGGTGTTGGCTGCATAAGAAGCAATCAAAAAGGAAACTGAAAAAGGCCATTTTGATTATTTGTGTGCAAAAAGAAAAAAAAAAGAAAAAAAGAAAAAAAAGTTACAGAGAGGCATTCCTTAAAAAACTGTTCTTTTTCTTCTATCATTTTTCCTTTAAAAATCTTCCTTGTCACAAAAAGTTCTTTTCTTTCCAAATTTCCTCTCACAAACTTTAGTTTAGAAAAAATAAAAACAGGACAAGAGTTTCCAAACCAATGCCTTCATTTATACTTCAGTGATAACAAATAACTACAATTTATGCAAATTAGCAGTTACCATTTCTTTCTTTACAACCAAAGATGAAGGAACACAACTGGAAAAATAGTCATAATAATGATAAAACATTATATACCAAAGAAAGTGACAACAGGGCTTGAGGAAAAAAGTGATATTACAATAAAAAAAAATAATAAATAAAAAATACAGAAAAAAAGACAGGACCAGAAAATGTTGTTACAAAACTTTATAGTATTTAGCCTTTCATATACCTATACAGCAAGGCTGCATAGTAACCTATAAAAAAAAATGGGTTAAGAGTAACAATCTTCACCGACTTTTCATAAATTAACACAATGACTCAACATCTCATCACAAAAGCATTACATAAGTGCTGGTTGTTGTTGTTGTTTTTGTTGTTGTTGTTGTTGTTGTTGGTGCCTCCTCCTCATCCCCGTCACTTGCTCTCAGAGGCCACTCGAAGCACACCTGTGTCTCTGACCCGGCCATTGCAACGCAACTAAACTAAACATCCATCAGTCATCATCAACCACTTATTTTTTTCCTTTTTTTATATCTATTTTTTGTATTTTGGGGGGTTGGGGGGGTGGGGGAGGAAGGAAATCTCTCACATCTGTTACGAAAGTCTTTTATATTTGTATTTGTATTTCTCATAATTCTTTTCCTTTCAACTTCTTTTTTGTTTTTTGTTTTTTTGTTTTTTTCTTCTATCTAATGTTCTATCTTTCTTGCAGTTACTAGAAAATATTTGTCACTTATTGCCTTGCTTATCTTTGTGCATTGATGTGTACATTGTTTGCAATTATCTGTCTAGGCTGCGATTGCTGTGGAAGCTGCTGCTGCATGACCATGGAGGGCGGCTGGGAGAGGGGCGCCTGGAACTGCGGCTGCTGGAACTGCGCTGGAGGGGGGGAAAAGCCACCTGTGGGGGGAGGAAGGAGAAAAAAGGGGGGGTTAGAAGACACTATGGCTGAGGCTCCATATTTTGTTCTACTACTACCATAACTATGACTACTGGTAATAATGATGATGATGATGATGATGATGGGGATGATGTGATGATGATGATGGGGATGATGATGATGTGATGATGATGGGGATGATGATGATGATATGATGATGATGATGATATGATGATGATGATGATGTGATGATGATGGGGATGATGATGATGATATGATGAGGATGATATGATGATGATGTGATGATGATGGGGATGATGATGATGATGGTGATGAGGATGATGACAATGGGGATGATGATGATGATGGGGATAATGATGATGATGGGGATGATGATGATGATGTGATGATGATGGGGATGATGATGATGATGATGATGATGATGATGATGATGATGATGATGATGATGGGGATGATGATGATGATGATGATGGTGATGAGGATGATGACAATGGGGATGATGATGATGATGATGATGTGATGATGATGGGGATGATGATGATGATGGTGATGTGATGGTGATGTGATGATGTGATGATGATGGGGATGATGATGATGATGATGATGTAATGATGATGATGATGATGGGGATGATGATGATGATGATGATGATGATGATGAT